CCCCTTACAAATGCAGTCCCCTCCCCCATCCCTGAGGGTTCCATCCCTGACATGAGGTCTAGAAGCACAAGATCTATATCCAGCCATTCAGCAAAGATGCTGCTACAAGGCTGTACAGCTTATTTTGGCATTTGACCCATTAGATGAGCCCTTGAATGATATATTAGCCACTGTAAATTAACTTGGAAAAAAAAGTAAACAAGTCAAGAAAAAAAGATAAAAAGCTAATTGAAACGTTGAAAAAGAAAGTTAAAAAGTTAATACGCCTATTTAAGAATTATATTTAGGTTTATAAACTACAAAATGTAAGTGCCAGTATCAGAATTCATGCCTCTAAGGTTATGTTGTACCAATAAAATGTGTTTCTTTCACTCTCAGAGTGTTTTTCATGATTTCTTATAGATGCACTTGTGTTATTTTTATTATTATATTCTGTGTTTCTTGTTATTACATTGACATTCATTTTTGCCATTAAAATATCCATATTGTTTGAATGTTACAAAGGACTTGACCTGGATTCCAATAACACTATTGGCTTGAACGCTTAAAATAGGTGCATTTGTTCTTGGATTAAGGAGGCAAAAGAGACATCTTGCCAATGGAATAAGACCATTTAAATTTAAAATAATAAAACACAATGGCATTTTCTTATTTCAGGTTATCTAATTATCTTTTTTTAAAAGTAAAAATACTCACTCCATTGGCAAACTATCTCATTTACCTGCTAAAATTAACAGTAAATACACAAAATTTAAGAATCTTTTTTCAACTTATTTCTAGATAGTTTTTTTCCAGTGAAATTTCGATTTTCAAAGTATTCAACTGAGTGCCCTATAAAGGGTTAAAGGCTTCTTTGTCCACTCTTTTGTATCACTCAGCTCCATATTCAGAACTCCTCTGTATTGTGTTTTAGATGATATAATGTTATAGGTCATATAGTGTTTTGCCTATTTAACCTTTCATTATAACTGTATATATTTGTGTCATATGTACATAAAGCTAGTTGAATACTTTTTTTTTGCTAAAAAAAAAAAAAACACTAGATCTTCTTAACCTGAGCAAAAGGAAAAAGAAGGTAATTAAGGGGGGTTGTATGCCTATCAATAGTTTTACTGCATCAAATGTTGATCAGTTTGCCTGCTTATTGGTGTTGTTAATATTTTAGCGAGAAATGTCCAACTAGGGGCCTTATCTGTTCCTCAGGTGTTTCACATTACAGTAATGAGCGCTTCAGAGCAAAGGGTTCCCATCCTAGCCACAAGGAGGGGTTGTAAAACACACCTCCCCAAACCAGCTACTCTGTGTTTTAAGGACCATTGCCTTGTTACATCACTCAACTGTGTCCAACAGTTTAACCCAGAATGTTAGGCAGAAAGAAATAAATTGTTTTGAGTGCTTAAACCAGGAGGTACTCTTACAAGAACTATTAGTGTCACTGTCCATAGTACATAGCCATAAATTAGTTAATTGTCTTACCTACCTGCTCCAATCAAGGAAAAATATGTTTTCCAAGAAAAACTTACTTATATTTTAGTTTTCGTAGTGTATGTCATCAGTACAGGGGCCAAGATCAGGTCTACAGGGGCACTGGCCCCTGTTGGCCCCTTTCTAGAACCGTCTACGCTTTGTTTAGTTCTTAGTATCTCTAAAGGAATCTTGCCTTAATTCAGGGAATTAGCATTTACCTATCAATGCATTGTTTTAAATGAACTCCATTTATTCTCCCAAGAAGAGTGGTCAAATATCCAGCCATATTTATCAAAAATCACTCCATCAGGTAGCACCATGATGACACACATTTAGATAAATATCCAAGTACTTTATTTGATTTATCTAAGTGGAATGTATATCTTTGACCATTTCTAGACTGGAGAAAATAAACAATACATTTAAACCACCACACCCAGTTTCTACGATTTTCTTAATTTTGTTCTTTTTTTTTTTTTTTTTTAGTTTTACAGTAATTCCAAATTAAAAGATAAGTGTTAAAACAAAAGAGGAAATGTCTGCCTGGAACTGTATGTGTATTTCTAGCAGTCGGACATCAGAATGCCGTCTCGGTACACGTGTTTGAATGTCAGCACCTAACGACCGTCACGCGACATAAACTGTAGTATGATTTTGAACCAGATGACCCCAGCCATCCACACTAAACTCCCACATCTAATATATATATATGTATATATATCAAGGCCTATATATAGGTCGTGACAAGGAGGACTCATATTTACATATGCTGCTTCTGAAGATCACTAGAGAGCAGTCACATGGTGTGTGTTGATGGTGGCGTGATGTTCTTGGCTGGTTTATAAAACCCCAACTGGTCTCACTAGCTCCAGCCTCCAATTAAAAAGAGCAGAGTGGCGGGGTTTCAGTGGAAACGTATACAGTTGTCAGTGTCTGTACTTGTTCTTGGCTGTCTCTCTATGAGTTTATATGATCTCCTCTGGAATACTATCCTGTCTCTTTCTCCTCCTGGTTGCACACATAAGCCTTCAAACTATGCTGGCAGGGGCTCTTCGCCACCATGCTGATGGTGTAAAGTTTCTCTGCATTTAGTAAGAGTCACACATGACTCGGCTCGGCTTTTAAGTGGAGGGCGGGTCGGGCTGACCTGCAAAAGGGAAAAGAGAAGTAGAGAACAGTGTGCATTAAATAGATGGATGGAAGGTGGGGCTGTGTTTACCCATAAAGATGTTTGAATGCAAACCTAAATACAACCACACCAATGCTCCGAATTTAGGCGCCAGGGCCCAGATTTAGAGAGCACCTGTTGCCTGCTGGGCAGGGGGGGGATTGGGCTTTGTTGAATAGGTTTGACTGACAGGGATCAGCAGGGGAGGGGGGTGATGGTGGAAGGAAGGGAATATGCGACCTCTTTGGCATGTGATCTGAAATAGAAAGAGATTTAACTCTGTTGGGGTGAAAGACAATAGCAAAGACGAGCCCTCATTTGCTGCAGATGCCAAAAGTTGAGTCACGGTTACGTGTATTCAATAGACTGAGGGGTTTTCTTTTTGTCTCACTCGTAATATGTTTTTTTTATCTTTACATAAAGCAAAGTCAATACAAATATGTTCAAAAAGTTCAGCAGAGTATACAGAGTCTTTAAAAGGTATTCATACCCCTCAAATATATATTTAAATATATTTCACAAATGTTTTAAAATATCAAGAAAAACACATAATTATGATGTGAAACAAAAATAATACATGGCATCAAATTTCTTATTTTTACATAGGAAAATCTGAAAAGTATCATACCCTTCACTCTGATAACCTAAAATAAAATCCAGGGCAAACTAGAGTTTCAGAGTCACCTTGTCGGCCATTTAATATTAGTATACATCAGCTGTTCTATTTTGTTTTATTTTATTGTTTGTTTGTTTGTTTTGTTTTTTGGATAGGAGGTGTGAATGTGTTATATTTTTTAGCAGTGTTTAGGGCCTTGGACTTTGTCTATAATGTAATTATTGTTGTTGTAAAACGGTGTAAATTCAACCTGAAAAACTCACAAAAAGAAGGAAGATAATTGGAAGAGTTTTATTGACACAATATTTTAAGACTTTTGCGCTCAGGCATTGGTGGGGAAGACTAACAATGAATTTTACTTTTATTACATTGAATTGAATTAGAACAGGGACGAAGCCCCCTAGGGCTCAAACTACTGATGGAATTGAGATGATATGAAGAACGATACCAGCTGGAACAAGGCGCAGATTTGTATGAACCTCCATGATCAGCAAGCATGGAGCGACAGTGGAGAGAAAAAACTCCCCTGGGGAAGAAATCTCTGGCCGAACCAGGCTCATCATGGCCTTGTTCTGCCAGAGTGGCTGGGGATGCCTTGTGAAAGCCTTATGAGTCCAGTTTACTTAGATGGGGGTAAGCATTGGCATGGAAAAGGAGCTGGATGAGCTTGCGAGGACAGTAGATAAGGGAATGAAGGAGGATTGAATCAGGGTCATTATAACCAAAATCTGACATGCGACCCAACTCATTGGTGTCAGGATGAGCTGTTGACTCTGATGCAGATTGGATTACGAACAGGTGCAGTTGAATGCTAATTAGCTGCTTCACAGACGGATGAGACTGTGATTGCATGAGGGTAAGCGATCCAGTTTACTGGGCTTCATAACACTTAAATTACCATAAAAGTAAAATATCAAAATTACAAGAAATCTGTATATCCAGTGCCTGACTTTGTCATGGCACTGGATATACAAGCCATTACTTCTGTTTGTTAGAAACAAACAAACTTAATTGGCTATAGCCCTATATCACATAATAGCCATGTTAACGTTTTCTAACGCATTGAACCCTACTTGGGGCCCTTGATCAACCAGTACAGAGTCTTGAAATCCATTGCAGAAATTAAATTAAACACTCGATAGTTTTGTTTAAGTGCTTAGATATGTAAAACCAATTATTAAAAATTTTGAAAACCAACTTCTTTGGTTGCTGATCCTGTTTCTAATATTATTGCATCAATGGTTAATTGATGTTGCTGAAATACTTCTTTCCTCAACCAACAGCTTGGTTAATGACTCTCTACTGTTATCATTTTATGGGTCAGAAGCTGAAAAGTTTGGCCATCATCCATGGCCGCGGGAAGTGGGGGGTACTGCAGCCCCCCCTAGTGGGGAGTGGTAGATTAAAAAAAAAGTGTTAAAATACTTAGCACAATTTCTAACTATTTTATTAATATTTTGGTAAATGATTTTGACTTTTATCTATCTTATTATTACATTATTTGGATTTTTATTTAATTTTTGAGGCCTAATCAATACAAGTTAATTACGTTGTCATGGATACGTCAAGCACCCTAGCTGTCACCAAGCTTGCAGCAGCAGACTAGTAAATTTACATAATTTAATGAAAGAAATGAGAACCTCCAAGGGCACCTGAACATTTAGACACCTGTAACCAGACAGGGCACCCTGCCTGTAACTCAAAGTGAGCATGGTGCCGTTGCACACTTTTTATATCTATTCCTGCATTTTAACATAACCAATGTATTTTTGACTGTTATTTTGATCTTGTGTTCTGTGTGATTGATGTGGAAAACTGTTCAATAACGTTTAAATAGGATAATAAAGTAGTTATTTCCTTGTGGTTTGGGTAAGAGGATTTTGAAGCTCCATAGGAGCTCCGTAAAAAGAAAAAGAACCATTGCATTTTATATTTCAAAAGATCAGCCACCAAAGAAAAGACCAACCACATTCAGAGAGGATGTGCAGAACAGCTAAGTAATCCTGGAATTATGGAGGAAAAACCACAGGGATATTCTTCTTTTATTATTACTGATCTAATTCATTTATCTTTATTTTAGTCCATTGAATATGTATAAAAACTTAATTTCCATCACACCTTCCAAATGAAACATCCAGAGAAGTGCTGAGTTCATGATGAGTTTTTGTCAATTGTAAAATTGATTGTAACTAATAATATCATGAATAAAGCTTTTTAGTCCTCCGCCTATTACCAAATATTCACACACAATTTGCATAGGTTTCGATTGCTCTGGTTCCTGTATCAGTGCCAGTAATCTAGTTGTTTAATTTACTTGAACTGCAGAGAACAACCAATGAACAAAGTTGTGAAATTCTTAATTTAAAGTATATTTAAGATGCAAGTAGGGCCTATTCTGCTTTACTTCAATTCTCTAAAAAATCACCAGAATGTAGAAAAGAATTGATATTGTGTGAAAAATGTTCCACATAACTACAGACCCCTTATTGTTACTCAGTAACATATGTGCTATAAAAATTCTACATTTGCCACTTTGTTTCAGTTAAATCCACCAAAAACCTCCAACCTATAGTTGCACCTATCCTAATTTTAACCCTGACAGGATGTCCTGTCCAAACTATTGCAAAAACCTCACCCCAAGGTTTGGTGAAAAGTTGGCAGCCCTGGAACTGGTGATGTCTGTGTTACAATAAAGTAGTGAAACCCAATTAATTGTTTTATTCGTTGTATTTTAAATAGTCCTATAGGCTCAAAGGTCTTTTGTCCAAAAAAAAAAAAAAAAAAAAAAAAAAAAAAAAATCACAGCACCCCCTGTTCAAAAGTACTTCCAGAGGGTTCAAAGGGAGGTTAGTGACACTGCAGTGGCTGGTTGGCTTCTACCTGTAGGTGGGGCCCCCTAATAAAATTCTGCTTTAGGGCCTAATTCATCCTCTGGGACGGTTCTCCGTCTCTCTTTCAGCCAATGACAGCTAAGGTTAAGGCGTTTGCGTGCAGCCGTCCGTCACTCTATCCGAGCAGGACGGACAAGTCAAACTGTACAGAGGAGAGAGGGCAACCTGTGCTCCAGGGCCGAGCACATTTGTTCAACTTTTTTCACCTTTGGATTAAATCTACTGGTTTTGCTTCTTTCTGATTTGGCGGGTTTTAGAGCGGGGCTCTTCTCCATTTGGCACCAAACGTGTCTGTCACCACCTGCAGCCGGGTGCCTGAAGTTGTTAAAGTCATGCCGGCCGGGTTTCAACAGTTGGGGGGAGAAGTAAGCTTTATTTTTATTCTTTGCTTTACAGCTCTACGTTTATTTATTATTCAAGTGCAGAAAAAAGGGTAATTATTTCTGTTGAATCCCTCTGTCAGCGCGTTTCAATTATAACTTTTACGCACATGCGTTATGCGTGTGCGTAATTTCACAGTTTTAGTTTTTGGAAACTAAAACAAAGGGAACGAAAAAAAAGAAGAAATCATGGATTAAAACAAATACAATCAAAGTGAGAATCAGTTTTTTTACGCATTAAACTTTGTATGCCTTGAGTCTGCTGTTAAAGATTCCACTGATTTTCCAACAGATTAAAAAGAGAGTCTGACATTGAGAAGTCAAATATCTCAGTTTATGAACCACAGTGGATATTTTGGATGCAGTTATTTCCGGATGATAAAACAGTTTTTTTTATGTTCAGGTTTAAATCCTGGCTTCTGCTTGTACTTATGGTGAATTTCCACTTATGAGGCATTATTTGCCTTTAAGCACAAGCGCACCCATGCTGGCAAAAAATACATTCTTCTGTTTGGTCATTAAGCCATAGAGACTCAACACAGCAAGGTCAAGACAGGCTGAATTTGATTCTTTATGACCGATGGGGTAAAGTTTGGTCAATGATTCAGAGGAGAGTGTAAAAGAAAGAGATGATCATGTTTCATATGAGATTGCCACAATTTTCTCTTTATCAGCGCTCTCTATACAAATCTCAAGCAAACCTAATGCTTTGTGTTGTGCAAAGATACAATCTGATATAAATTATCGCTGAAGTGTCACCAGTGTGTTTATATTTTCTAAAGTTCTTCTCCTAATCATGGTCACATGATCAAGATGTTTTATGAGGTCAGGTTGTTCCATCATGGCTCCAGAGTTTTTTGTTTAACCAACACCTCTTGCAGGACATTGTGAGGTCAGAGCTGGTAGACGACAACAAAAAATGTATGAAAGAATAACATGCAACCGTGGCTTCAGTGACAGATGTTTTAAATCGTTGAATGATAGTGTCAGTTAAAATCTTTCTGAGGGTGGTGGACCTTTATTCCCCCAAGGTCATCTCATCTGTCATTGCACAGACAGGTGTCCGGGGGCTTGACGGGAATCGGGAGGCTAGTGAAAGTTCAGGCACTTAGCCAGTATAGTCATGGATGTTACTAAAGGGATTGTCTGTGGTCAGGATGAGGCTTATTTATAGTTAATGTTAGCTAGCTGTGTGGTAAGGCATTGTAATTAATCCTGACTGTTTAATTAAAGCTTACATCTCTGTAAACATGCACTCGTCCAGTATGTGTAGATAGAACATGGTTCTGACATAAATTCCCATAACACTTATCAAGGAAGAGTATTTATTCCAAAACCTTAATTGCTCAATTGCATGTCATCCTTAGATGCCTGATTTTGCTTGAGACCAGAAGGTCACACATTGTTCAGATGGAACCATAGAATTTATGAAACTATTTGTAACGTTTGGTACATCCCTGCATGATGTGATTAAATCCTAAAAATGGCTAGAGGGGGCAGGACTGAAGGGCAACACAGAGGACTGATCATGGCAGCCCAGGGGCACTAGAGCAATTGAGGCCTAGATCTACCATATCAGGCATTATCCCAGGTGCAGGTAATGCAAAGAGCCCCCAGAAACAACCCAGCCTCTCACAGCAGGGTGTAAAATGCTAGCAGGAAAGGACCAGCTGGACCAAAATGGCTGGTATAGTGTACAGGAACATCTTTGCAGAATACTAACTGGATACCCCCAGGTCAAAATGGGAGGTTACTACAGATTTGGTAGAGAATGACAGAACAAATATCCCAGGGTCTGGTTGGTTGGCCTAAACCGTTTAGTCTGTTTGTATCTGGAAATCCCACAGGATCTTAACTGGTCATTCTCCACCACCTTGGGAAGTGGTTCCATATTGAGTTTGTATTCTACACAGATGTCTCTGTACTCTATACCCAGCTATTACATTCCATGTATTCCTTTCCTGCCAGTATCTTACACCCTGCTCTAAGATGGTGGATTGTTTCTAGGTCCTCTTTTCAATTTAAACGTACACACACAAACTTGTCTCAGTATCTGAGACAAGTTATGGCCTTTCCATCGACTTCAATTAATTTCGGCAGCCAACCATTACTGGTTCACACCTAACCCTAACCCTAAACCCAGGTAAAGTAAATTCGGACCTTCATCCTAAAAATGATCCCTGACCCAAAACAAGCAATTCATCTTATGAGGTACTGGCATTGGGCCACATAAGGAGCTGTTAGTCCCCACAACATGCTATTCATTTATTTTTTACAAGAAAATGAGCCCCACAATGAATTAATCACAAAGCTCACACATACACACACCCATTTGTATTTGTAGCTCTATTTAGACTTTACATTGACTTACATTTATTTCATTTATCACATGTATGCCTAACACTTACCCGAACCGTGACATAAAGTTAGTTCACAACTTACCTTTGAACAGACTCTTTCTGGTTAAAAGCAGGGGTCTGCATCATTAGGACCAGCCTTCCGTCCCCAAAAGGCCTGTTGGTCGTTAGAGGGTTTGTAAATATACTAAAACCGGCTCGGGATGTTTCAGCTTGGAGTTTGCGAGTTCTCTCTATGCATCCATGGTTTCTCTCTGGGTTATCTAGCATCATCCCACAGTCCAAAAACATGACTGTAAGGCAGATTGGAATTAAGTGTGAGTGTGTGTGTGGATAGTTGTGTGTCTCTGTGTTGCCCTGCTACTGACTGGTGACCTGTTCCCCTGCCCATAGACTCCATAGACATCCAGAAATAAATGATGTCTCATCACGAGGATGTTAACACATTGTTTGAAGATGTAGAAGACTGGACAGTATTTTAAAATTGGAAAGTTTCTATTTATTATATAGATATTTATCTATTTTTATTTTTTGTTAGGGAAGCAATGCCTTTTTCAGATAAAAGAACAATGTTTTCTTTGATAGATATTTTGAGTTGCTGTTTGGACATCCATCCATCCATACATATATATATGAACACACAAACCATGTGGGCACATGAGTAGGATTAAGTTGTGTTTTTGTTTTTGACTGGCTCCATACTAACCTCTCTTACTTTTAAAGGCAGTTGGACGTGTTGGCAAAGCTTATACAAAGTGGAGACAACAAACTTTGACAGACAATATTGTCGACTTGGTAGAAGCTTAGAAAAGGCTCTGCATTAAACCTAGCTCTATCAAATAATCTGGCAGTTAAAGTTATAATGGGTCGTGGAACTTGTGGTACATGTCAATATAGTAAGGAGTTGGGATTTTGACACCACACTAATAAAGCTGTGAAATGCTTTTATGACTTTTTTCATTTTAATTTGTTTTTTTATAGTACAAGGAAGTACATTACTTAAATGATCAACACAATTCCCAGTATTACTACAGTATATAATATTCTGTGGTTAAACCAATAAATTCATTAATTTTCTTTCTACCTTTTCTTGTTTTTTTTCTGCAGACGGTGACTGGAACTCTAGCTCTATCGGTCTTCACTGCTGTTCTGGGATCACTGACATTTGGCTATAACATTGGAGTCATCAATGCACCTCAGAAGGTAAAAAGAAATGCTTCAGTTTACTAAGAATATACAATAAATTAGCCAATTATATTTCATTAAAGGAATGAGAAAAAGGATTAGGATTATTATTGATATTTATGTAGCAATCACAATATCAACTATATCAGATATTGCCAAAGCAATACCAAACAGTGCGTCTGTATGTTTTATTTATTTTCTTCTTCCAAGCAAATTTTTTTATTAATGTGGTTAAAAAAAAAAGTAGATTTCAGAGGAACTAGGAACAAGTTGAATCCTATTAACATCATGGGAGAAGAAATGTAGGTGGTGGAGGATCATAAATACCTTGGTGTTCACTTGGACAACAAACTAGACTGGAGACACAACTGTAAGGCTATTTACTATGACGGACAGAGCAGACTGTACTTTCTAAGAAAGCTTTGGTCCTTCAGTGTTTGCATCAAGATGCTGCATATCTGTCGTGGAGAGTGGGATGTATTCCTCCATCATCTGCTGGGGTAACAGCATCAGAGCTAATGACTTAAAAAAGCTCAATAAGCTTATAAACAAGGCTGAATGTATTCTAGGAACTCCTCTATAACCTCTTGAGATTTTTTCACAAGAAGGAATTAGTGAAAATCCTCCTCAGAAGGAAGTTAAACAGCAACAAAGGTTTCGTCAGATCTGGTGCAAGACCGCTATAAAAGATCCTGCCTGCCTACAGCTATCAGCATTTACAAAAATACAAAAAAAAAAAAAACTTTCCTTTTGGATAAATACAGTCTTTTTTTAATTGTTTTTTTTTTTTAGTGATGTACAAACATTAACACAGTAGCGCCTCTGTTCTAACTTGATTCACTTGACATGAACTGAGCACATACAGTTCTTGTAAAACAGAGCCCCCATCCCACTGTGTTGTGGTTATTAAAACCAGCCCAAGGCTCTCATAATGTCAACCCTTTAGGAGGCATTGTTGTCACCATGTCGTTGTTGTGTTTTTCTGTTTATCCAACAGCTTTTCAGAGACTTTCCCTTTGGTTCCTGGTTTTCCAAGCTCCAGTGTTTGAAACCATAACACAGTCATATGGTATTTAGGAAACAGAAAGCAGAGAGGTTCTGAGCTCAACCCAACAGACATAAATAAATACACGATAAGATAGCAGCAGAATAATTATGGATTTATTAGAGAAAATTATGTTTCACTTTATTTCATGATGACACATTTTAAAACATGATTTCTCAGTTACAATCAGTGCACACAAATCATGATTTATGACACGTGTTTTATAAAAGACTGACATGTTGCTCTTGTTCATTTTATCACCATACCTGATGCTTTGGTATGGCAGTCCTTAGCAAATGTGTCATATTGAATAATTTATTTTCATCTCATGGATTCATTTAATAAGGCAGGTAATTATAAAGCAGCTAACAGTTTCTACTGATTTAAAAAGAGTCAAGAGCTTTGAAGAGAGACCAACACAAAGCTCCGGCTGTTGTGGGTCGATCTGGGCTGCTAGTACTGCTGCTACTGAAGCTGGTTTACTGTAAACACATCGCAACAAAAGCACAGCAACTGAAACATTGTTATATTTTGGTTTAGTCCTTGCTTGCACCATCTAATATTAACTTATTAAATGGCGGGAATAGTTTCCATTAAAATCTACAACACCAACCACATTTATCGGTGATGTTGTTTTTTTAACATCTTGAAATAAGTTGGGGAAAAAAAAACATTTGACGTCCCACTTTTGATTGAATACATGCACTCAGCACGGTTATATCTGATTTAGTAGATCCTATAAAGCATGTTGTGTTATTTCTCTTTGGTCTTTAATATTGGAAATATAGCAGAACATGCCAGTCAAGAAAGGCATACTTTATTTTTGTCTTAAAGAGTCAGGAAAGGGCTCCAAGAAAACAGCAACTTAACTTACTGTAACTGAAAGATTTATACACACTGTTTGTAAAAAGGAGCGCTACCACAGGTCATTCATCCCTGCTCCCATCAGACTCTACAACTGCAATAACTTGTGCAGTAAATAATGTGCAATTACCGTTTAATACCCTGTGTATGTATGTGTGTGTATATATATATATATATATATATATATATATATATACCTATTTATATAAATACCCATTTAATACCTTGTGCAAAAACCCTGTGTAATAATCGTGTTAAATAAGAGACTTCAGCTCCAAAAATTGTCCTCTGTCTAGAAGAGTAAGGTTTCAAAAGTTTAAAACAACTGCTGGACCTGTGTCAAAAAAGGCCTACGCATATCACTAATGTACAGCCTTTCAGCAAAGACTGCAGCATAAGGAGGGATCTTTATGCCAATAGGAGGAACATCAAGTCTCCACAGCCAGTGTTAGATCCTATCTGCTTGCCTATTGGCTGTTTATAAAACACTCCAGTAAAAGACCTCCTCTATCCTACTTCTATAATCTTATATATTGGCATTTGCTGATGTATACTTACGTATACATGAACTGCATCCTTTGGTTAGAGGAGACTAAGGTTCAGTTTTTTAGCAACAAGCACTCCAATTGGGTTTGGATTTTACTGAAATAACGCTCTAGACCCACTGGGTAGAATACAAAAAAATTAGTGTGGAAGAAAAATAAGTAGGAGTAACACTCCTTTATCATATATTTAGTTGAGTAAGGGTGCTATATAACCATGAAGGAAATTACTCATGTCAGAGTAAAAAGGCTACTCAAGTACTGAGAAATCATAACGTGATTTAAAAAAAAAACAAAAAAAAAAACAGAAGAAACACTTGTTCAAATCTAATTTCTTTCAGCATAAAAATGAATGAACCAGCCCTAATAGTAGGTTAGGGTTAATAGTAGAGTATTAGAACTGTGTAAAGTACCTCCAGTCACAAGTTTCCGGTTCCGGGTTCGTTTTCCGGCCCGGGGTCTTTTTGCATGGAGTTTGTGTCCTCCCTGAGCATGCGTGGGTTCTCTCCGGGTACTCCGGGTTCCTCCCACACTCCAAAAACATGACTTTTAGGTTAATTGGCTTCTCTAAATTCTCCTTAGGTGTGAGTATGTGCATAAATTGTTGTTTGTCCTGTCCTGTCTCTGTGTTGCCCTGCGATGGACTGGCGACCTGTCCAGGGTGTACCCCGCCTCTCGCCCATTGACTGCTGGAGATAGGCACCAGCACCCCTCGCGACCCCACTTGGGATTAAGCGTTTCAGAAAATGGATAGATGGATGGATAGCTTCACCTCCTAATGTTCACCAGATATACATCTGTACAAAAAATGAACACTCATTTTGGCCTACCTTAAGGTTTGTGATCCCACTGTTTGTCTTTGCTTGAAGAATTTTCATTTAAAAAAAGCTTCTTTGTCATTCAGTGAAATAACTCATGGAGGAGCCAAAAAATAATACATAGGATATGCCATTAAAATATTACTAAAGTAAAAGGAAAAGTATACTTTTGTAGTAGTATATTTTGACAAAAATATACTCCTAACACTGGGAAGTACGATGGAGGACTTATGATGCTGTGGGCTATTTCTACTTCACCTCACTGTGATCTTGCCTTGTTCTTGGAAGTGTTTTACCAAAACAACAAACCTTGAACTGGTTTATTGATGTTTTCTGTCTTATCATTGTAATGATTCTGTTGTAGCCCAGCTTTGATGGCTCAAAAAAGTGAAAATCCACAAACACCACAGATGCACCATGGACTTATTTTATGCAAGCAAAAGAAAAAATGTTCCACGTAAACTCCTTTTGTTTTGTCAGTTTATTTTTTCCTCAGGCAAGCAAACAAAAAGACAAACATTTCCTCCATGTTTCTCTTGCGCTGGTAAAAAAACATACGCCCACCCAGATGCATGCTGGTCCTACAATTGACTACCTATTTATAAGAAATAATTAACCTAAATGAATCATAACTAACCATAAAATAAAGGAACATAACTAAATAACCAAAAAACATAATCTCATAACAGATATTAAACAATACCGTAAAATAAACTTGCCTAGATTATACACAAAAACAAAAAACATTTCTAATCATTAACAAAAAATTATTGGCTCCTACAGATTCTTTTAGCAGGCTAATCATCCAAAAAAGAAATTTGGTCAAATAGTTCACTTTCTGCATGCTCCCATCTTGTGAAATTTCACAGCCTACTCAGTCTACACCCAGAACTAGAACCAAACATGGAGAAGCAGTATTTAGTTCCTATGCTCCACTTATGTGAAACAAACTTCAGAAAGATTTTGAAAGTGCTGAAATCCTGAGTTCATTTAAACCAAAGATAAAAACCCATTTGTTAGGAGCTGACTTTGACTGTTGAAGTTAAACTGCTAACTTAGTACTTTTAGTTTAAGGTTGTGATCAAAACTGTTTTATTTGCTTTACTACCTGCTTTTATCATGATTTTTCAATATTTACTTGCTTTTATCCTGCTTTTTAAAATTAATTCATTTTTTATTGTGTAATTAATGTAAATCACTTTGCATTGTCTTTGTACTGAACTGTTCTATACAAATAAATTTGCCTTGCCTTTCAATGTAATACCAATACGAATGGAGGGTGCTGTGCATCGGTCATGAGATTTGTATACTTTTTAAAAAATTTTATTGATAACTAATCACACTTTATCTTTGCTCTGCAGATCATTGAGGCGGACTACAATGAAACATGGGTGCACCGTTATGGAGAACCTATACCAAGTGGGACCCTCACCTCCCTCTGGTCTCTGTCAGTGGCCATATTCTCCATCGGAGGCATGGTGTCCTCCTTCTGTGTGGGTTTCATCTCAGAGTGGCTTGGCAGGTAGGAAGACACAAGGAGATTACATTTCCTCTGCAATGAAAGATAGAAAACTCCCCAAGATTTATAGAAATTTGAGAACTAGAAGTCGTTTGGGTTGTTTTCAAGTTTAAAGTGTGAAAAGTTTTTCTAAGAATGAAAGACCAAATTAAGGGTCTACTTTCCTGATTTCACCCGCCTTAAATTTAGTATCCCAGAGTTTCGGCTGAAGCTGAAGTCCGGTCCATTAAGTGGGCCATCCAAGTTTCCCTCTGTAACCTAAGCCATGGTGGAAACTGGCTGAAGGCAGGGGTGGGCATGACAGCGCTGAGTCCAGAGTCAGGGAGGGTGTCAGGAGTGGAGGTTGGGCAGCAGGACAGGATCTTAACTTGTCCTCCTTGAACAACAGCTGTTGCCGCTGGTGTTGGTGGTAACGCGGCTGGCCTCTGAGGTCAAAGAGCAGATCGGCTCAAATCTCACTGATGACGTTTTTAACAGCAAGCTTTGTTGTTTAAAAGGTGAAACGTATTCTTTATTTCTGTGGAAGAGGTAGTAATGTGTCTTCAAAAATACAGAACTGAAACTTTTGTATTAAGGTTGATCGTTATTAGATATAGAAACCTGTTACATCGTGATCATTGCTTTAAGATTTAAATCTCAAGCAGTTATAAGAACCTCTTCTTTAGTAGGCTTGGTCGACCCTGCGTTACATACGATGTGTATCTGTACTCAAACAAACAAACTTTCAGTTGCAATATTTGACTAAATAAACTTTCTCAAATTCAGCAATGTGTATTTTGATAATGTGTACAGCTGTTTTTAATTAGATTTAGTGGAGGAGCTTGAAATATTGAGGCTTTTATCCACAAAGAAGCAGGTACAGCTGCACTGAAAGCTCCACGAGTGAGAACCGAGACTGATTTAGATGAATGTCTATTTCGTTAACCCAAATATGTATTTATCAAACACTAACTTAATTTAAACTGATCTTAAAATCAGCACAGATCCATAGAAGATGTCACCTCAAGACCTTTTATAAGACAAATAATTCAAATGTATATTGATGCGTACAGATTCCATATCTGCCTAGTTTATTCCAGTACAATCAAATTGTTTAACAGTACAATTAAGTTTGCGTGATTCAATGCAATTTTGTAAACAATAATCTGTCAGGGCTAAGTCACTTGCATCAAAATTGTAAAGATATACATGAACTTGTTGAAACTGCACATTTGTAGCTCATTTTCAGTAGGGGGCTATGTCAGACATTAAGGAACATCAAAGAAAAGCAATTCAGCAACAAACAAAAGAAACATTTGGTAGAAATTCTCACAGGTTCAAATTATGTTTTGAGGGAATGTTTAATCTAATTGCAATGTATTCTGTTTTTAATCAAGTCCAATTGACCAACTGTTAAACTACAATTGTTACAAATACACAGTCATAGAAATTTTCTTATAGGAATCCATAACAGCCAGAATAGCTAACAGCTCTAACCCTTTGTACTTTTGTAAGACACTGCCATCTAGAGGCCAAATTAAATTTAATTTCATGCTTCCCTACAAGGCGATCTAATCTAACATTTACTAATATGAACCTGTTTCAGTCTCAAAGGTCTGAGTCAACCACTTTTTTTTTTTTACTTTAGTGTAACCCACCAGTTATCTCAGATGGGATTTAAAATGAGCTTTCTATACCATCATTTCACTTTTTAAACATTTTTGTTGTTTTTTCTACCAGGAGAAAAGCCATGCTCGCCAACAATTTGTTTGCCTTCATTGGTGGGAGTCTGATGGGAATGTCCAAGCTCTGTATGTCCTTTGAAATGATGATCCTGGGACGTTTTATCATTGGCGCCTACTGTGGTAAAATAACCTTCCGATGTATCCTTTTGTTTTTATACATACAGACTTAAAAGAAAAAGAAACCCTTAGGAGCGACAGCTTGTTTTGATAAAAGTTTAATGCAAATTTTCAGTCTTTCTTTTGCTTTTATCTTCAGGCCTCGCATCTGGATTAACACCAATGTATGTGGGGGAGATAGCTCCTACAAGTCTCCGAGGTGCACTGGGCACTTTGCACCAACTGGCAATAGTCACTGGCATTCTTATAGCACAGGTATGATATGACTGCATACAGCGGCTCTAAATCTTTTACTGGTGCGCAGTACCAGACCTTTCCGGCTTACTCTTCACCGACTAATTGAGGCCATTCCTAAAGTTGCCAAATAAAATGAGATGGCCTCTACAAGAAAGGAGTTCAATTAACTACTATAAAGGTCACATACCCTCCATGCCAAAAGCTTGCACTGCATGCTGGAATGTCGCGAGAACTGAATTTTCAGTCTCACAACAAATCGATCTTGAAAGACTCCAACTAACACCTCTGTCTCGTAACCACCAGCAAGTAGGACGAATGACATGCCAGCAGTGTTTTTTGGGGTGGGACATGTAGGATTGAGGGTTTTGCCGGGGCATTCCAAACATGGCTACGTAGGAGGACTCACCTGTTGATACAGCAATTGACTCTTTTTTAACTAAAATAGAAGCACTTTGTGCATTTGTCGACAGGATAGATGTCAGTGTGATGTCTGTGTGTGTATGTCCGTTGTGGCTCTCATGGACGACCAAGTTGCAGAAGCTATTAACTCTGAAGGTCACCATTCCCTGCTACGATTGGCTGAAAGCATATTATAGAAGGCAGGTACTAGCTGGCACGTCACCCAATCAGCTGGAAGTATTGTACTAAACATCATTCTGACTAAACATTCTGATGGGGTCTTGGCTGCGTCCAGCAGTACTGGACAATGCTATTAGCATGGAGAGCTAATGCTATACCATGCTGATAGGAACAAAGAGCTCTGCGTGAATGGAGGCTGTCTCAGACTATTCCCAGGCAATCTTCGGCATCTAGAGGGGAAGCACAGCCCTCTACAGGAGAAAATGAGGAGAGCACTCTTGACGCTTCCCTGTAAAAATGCTGAAACATTCCCAGCTGGCTCCTCCCGGCCCCCTCCGTCTTCCACACCTTCTCCAGCATCGTTTGTCGCTGCTGAAACCTGCTGATGGCACCACTGCTGCTTCAACCACGTCAGGCTCTTCAACTCAGGGGGGTAGCACCCTCACATAATCGTCATCATCCTCCTCTTTCTCCCCTGAGCCTGGAGAAGCACATGCTTCAGGAGCTGGAGGCAGTAGTAGCAGCTCAACAACAACTGCTGCTTACCTTATCAAGGCTTCACTTCAAAAAAATTTTATTGTCTAGAGAGTTGTTCTAAAGGAAATGTCTCCTTTTCACGGATCCCAGATTGATAACGTAGAACTTTACTCAGTTGTTCTACACATAACACTCTGGCTACTGCCTGGTTAGGAGTAAGGGGCTTGAAGAAAGTTTTATTCTTTGATGAGAAATAATTGTATCTGGAGGGTATGGATTGCTTCCAACATTACTGACATCATGAGTGGTTCTTAGATCGACTTCTCCAAGTCTCTCTCATGACAAATAGCAACACTTCTGTAAGCCCACTGAAACGTCTCACCTCAGGGAACCTTGAAATTACCTTTGCACTGATTATCATCTATAGCAAGGCCTTGGACAACTGAGTCCTTTTTTTTAACTTTTAGGTAATTTACATGCTTAACTTAAAATCTATTGCTTTGAATGCAAACGCTTTGTTGTTACTTTTTTGTAGGCTTTAAGTTTTAAAGTTGGTATCTATTGTCCTGCAGTCATTTGCTGAACAACCAGGCTTAACTCATATGTGCATCTGCCTTACTTTGATGGCATCTTCTCTTGCTTTTCCCATTTTGAAGAGTGATTAAGATAAATTGGCTTTTGTGTCTGTATACAAAAGTACTATGTATTCCATGTTGCTTTTCTTTCAGTAAGTTTAAGGTAAGGATTTTTTGAAACCCAGCTTACCATATTAATGGTCTCTTTTTTACAACATTGGATTAGGTTCTGGGTCTGGAGTCATTACTGGGCAGCGAACACCTATGGCCCGTTCTGCTGGGTTTAACCGTGGTACCAACTGTCCTCCAGATGGGTCTGCTGCCCTTCTGTCCTGAGAGCCCCCGATTCCTCTACATCATCCGCAGCCAGGAGCACCTTGCCAAGCGCGGTGGGTGCAGCTGGTGTGCTTCACATTGTTCAAGACACACCTCTTTATTTTAGTTTGCCCCTGCATTTCTCAGAATAAACTTAACAATAATGCTAACTCCTGTGCTGGATAATGTAAAGCCAAAGCAGGATCAAACATTTCTTAAACCTTTATCAACATTAAAAGCCAAATTCTTATGTTCAAGATTTAATATAAGAATGCTGCAGAGCATCTAGACTGAGGCAAATAAAGAAAAATAAAGTTTGTCTCTATCAAATTAGTGCTGCATAGCTTTCCTAAACACCAGCAAGACACCAGTACCTGCTGGATGGTCAGTGAGTCAATAACATCCTGAGCTTCTTCCCCTGATTTTCCATTAGATTCATGTCTCTAATGGAGACTCTGGCTGAGTGACTCCAAAAACATTAATATTACTTCTAGTCAGGAGAAGCATGTTGATAAGAATGAATGGTTACATCACATCTAAATATGCAAGGAGAAATGATTGATATTTGGGGTGACCTTTTTATGTTAGCCACATAGAGAAGGTGCTTTATTCTATTTATGTAAGTTAGCCTCTTGTGTTGACTAAAGAAAAACTGTGTTTTAAAAACTAGATGGATGCCCAATGTATGTTGGTGCTTGCAGCTTAAATGAAGAATATCAATAAATATTGCGCAACACATATGGATCCCGCTTTAAAATCAGAGCTGTCCTGCATATATATATACATAAGCAGAGGAAAGCCATTCTGGTTGACAAAGCAATACCAAGTGATTGCAACATCAGGAAAAAAGAACATGAAAAACTAGAGAAATACCAGCGGCTCAGAGAAGAGCTGGAGAAGGTCAAGGCATCAGTGGTACCAGTGGTCATTGGGGCCCTTGGGGTAGTGACCCCCAAACTGCAGGAGTGGTTAGAGCAGATCCCTGTAAATATATCAGACATCTCGGTCCAGAAGAGTGCAGTTCTAGGAACAGCAAGGATACTCAAACTCCCAGGCCGGAGGTAGAGGACCCGAGCTTGGAGGAAAAAGTGGGGGGGAAGACCACCTGCGATGGGTGAGGAACAGTTTATATATATATATATATATATATATATATATATATATATATATATATATATATTAGTGGTGGGCCATTATCTATTGTCTCAGTTGGGTTGGGAGCTGGGTCTATACTATACGGATGACTTTCACTTGGATATTTTCTCGGGGGCGAGAACGAATCAGTCTTCCAACCTCTGTAGGCGTACTGTGAAATTACCACATTGAAGGTGGTGTGCTGACATGGATGCAGCTATAAGCACAGCTCTATCAGCCAAGCTAACCAATCTCCTTGCTCTGTGGATAGCCACAAGCTGCCAGGATGGACTCAAGCTCATCCTCCAGGCGGCCACAGGTGACCCATCTTACAAACTACCTGCGCCGTGAAAAAAGCTGCGAAAGATGAAAAGTTGACCGAGGCTACGTGTGTGTAAGATCTTTGGAGACACTGTATTATTAAAGTGGGACATCTATGATTGACAGTGGGACACTCTATTTTCTGCTGCAAAAACAAAGAAACAAATGAGCAAAAAAATATTTATTACTCTGACAAAATCTTAAGTAAGAAGACAAAATTATGTGTGATTTTGCAAACACAAACAATGTAAACCTTTTCTTTTTAATTCTGGAGGTGGCACACACATATCATGAATGCCTTTGGCAGAATTCAAATGAGCGATTTTAATCTAAATTAATTCCAAGATTATAGTGAGATTTAAATTATGCTATTGTTTTCCACTTCTTTATGTATTACAAAAAAAAACAAACTATGATACATAATAGTTATAAATGCAAGTAGAAACTGAAAGCAGGTTGGGGGAAATGGTAATGCAAGAGTACAGTGTTGCAGCATTGAATCAGCAAAGGTTTTAATTGACCTGAGTTCCACTTTGTCCAACCATGAAACAAAAGATTTGTTTTGAGATTCCTAGACATCCCCGTTTGATGGGTAATGATTCTCATCCCTTTGTCCTCTGAACAGGCCTGAGGAGGCTGACAGGCCGGCAGGAGGTGGGTGACATGCTCGCAGAGATGAAGGAGGAGAAGAGGAGGATGGAAATGGAGAGGAAAGTATCCATCCCTGAGCTCTTCCGCTCCTCTCTTTACCGCCAGCCCATCATCATCTCCATCCTGCTGCAGCTCTCCCAGCAGCTGTCTGGGGTCAACGCTGTAAGTCTGATTTTACTCTGGTTCAGCGATCACTAAATGCTCAAAGCTTAAGTGTGGATGTTGATCGAGCTAATTTCTGTTTAATCCCTCTTCCAGATTTTCTACTACTCCACCAGTATTTTCATGAAAGCAGGAGTCCAGAGTCCAGTTTATGCCACAATAGGAGCTGGGGTGGTAAACTGTGCATTTACTGTGGTCTCGGTGAGATATCATTACTCTGGCTCTTTGGTAGTCTGCTCTCCCAATAGACTTTAGTTATACAGTAAGAGCTTGCTGTGACCCACATTCAGTCAATAAGTGTGACTCGTTCTGTGTTTAACTCTGTTATCAAAGAGTAAATAAGATAAGAAAAGGTTGGTCCACCCTTTTTCATGATGAGTCTTTTCTCCAGCTGATTTTTTCTTTGATACTAGGTGTAAATATTCTTTAAAAAATCAGAAATGTGACATTTAACATGCTAAACTCATGGTGGCACATCCGCCAATGTGGTGAAGATTGAAGTTTGAACTTTTGTTCTCAGTAGAAGTTATCCAGATTACAGGAAGTCTTTCTAAGATCCTCTTTGGACCTTTTCACCCAGTTACAGCCCACTCCTTGCTCCAATTGTGTACTTTGTGCCTTAAAATGTTTCAGGTGGAAATTGCCTAATCACAAATTTTGTGTCCGTTTCCAATGTTTTGACACTGCAATAGATATTTAAGCCGATTCTGACCTTAGTAAGTTCTGTGATAGACAGAAGTTGATAACTTGACAGGATGAGTCAGAGCAACTGTGCTGCAATGGTTTCCGCCTTCCTGTTATCTGTTAAAGGTCACACTCTCTCTTGCTCTCCATTGTTCAATTTAATTCTTACTTTGTTACTTGTAGTGACATCTGGACTCCAAAATGCACAATATTTATAGAAAGGGGTGTGACTAGTTTTTGTTTTTTTAGAATCTGCATTTAATTTGACCTAAATTCTTGCTCTGAAACCAGATCTCACATTCAGATTCTGATGTAGTCAGTTCCTAATTGGTTACTTGCTAGAAGCGTAATTTGTGAACTGACAAGCGATCTCAGCTTAACCTAGTTTTTAGCTTTTGTAGAAAAAAAAAAAAGTTGTTTCTTCACAGAAGAAAAGTCTAAATTTTGTATTTTTAAACTGTTTCCCTGACATAAACAGCTTTTCCTTGTGGAGAGGATGGGTCGACGGACACTACACATGTTGGGATTGGGAGGAATGTGTATTTGTGCTATCGTCATGACAATAGCTCTGGCTTTACTGGTGAGTACCCAACATTAAGGTTTGTATTATTGTTATTTTTAATCATCCAGTATTAGTAAGCTGAATGAATCGCTGACGCCATCTTTATCTCTACCTGACAGGACAGCATTCCTTGGATGAGCTACATTAGCATGCTTGCTATCTTTGGCTTTGTCGCCTTCTTTGAGGTGGGTCCAGGTCCCATTCCTTGGTTCTTTGTAGCTGAGCTTTTCTCTCAAGGCCCAAGGCCAGCTGCCATGGCGGTGGCAGGCTTCTCCAACTGGACCGCCAACTTCATCATCGGCATGGGCTTCCAATATGTTGCTGTGAGTACCATCAGTTCTACAAAACAAGATGTTTTACAAATGATTTTGACGTTTTGTTCGGTTTATATTCATCATTAACCCATAAATCTTCCTCCCCAGGATCTCTGTGGGCCGTACGTATTCCTGATCTTTGCAGGGCTTCTCCTCTTTTTTCTTATCTTCACATTCTTTCGAGTGCCAGAGACCCGGGGTAAGACCTTCGACCAGATCGCCGCAAACTTTAATCAGCACTCAGCGGCGGGTATGATGGATATGGACATGGAGCTGGACAAGCCAAGCACGGAGCTGGACTATTTGGGCGATGAAAGCATCAATTGAAGAGTCCAAATGAAAAAACACAAACTGAGCACAGTTTTGTGGGCCCTACTCTAAAATGTTATTTCCTGACATGTTTGAAATCTGTAGATGTGTTCATTTAGCTTGTGGTGCCAAAGCAGTGTTAAGATGAGTGTGTGAATGTGGATGATTTTGGAACTATGGTTTGCTAAATCCACTGCAGTTAGATCACTGGTAGTTTTGACCTTTGCTCTAACAGCTCAAAACCTGTGGATTAAAGACTGACTGCTGTATTTATAACAAAAAAACAAGAACAAAAAAAAAAAAAAACACTGTTTAGGCATTGACTGCCAATGCGACATGATTTTATTTGATGCAGATAAACTGAATAGTATTGGAAGATGGAGGAATTTGGATATTCCAGCACTTTATAAAGACAGACTTTGGCGAACGGAGGAACAGGTACTGTGGGACGGTGATGTCCAGCTCAGGCCCTAAAAGGCCGGTTGTGCTTTATGTTTTAGATGTGACCTTGCTCCAAAGAAAAAATATATTTTATTCAAATTGTTGATTAATCTCCTTGACATCATGTTCTGCAAACGGCCTAGTAATGACCAATCTGTGTGTGTAACCAAGTAATCTAAAACATGGAGGACACTGGGTCTCAAAGACTGAAAATGGACATCAGTGATTGAATCTTGATGGTTTTTACTTAAGATGGGAACACGCTTGAGTAAGGTTATTTCCAGAACTGACAAACTGTATTAGAATATTTTTCTAAAGTAAACTAATATTTTGAGAAAATTAAAATTTCTGTCTAGTTTGCATTAGCATCAGATATTAAATTGTTGAATGTTGTAAAAACAAGGCAACATTTTAGCAGGATTCCTACATATTACTTCCATAGTTTTTCAGCTTCAGAATTTATATATTTTTTTATACAGTTAAGACATTTGAATATGAAATCTGAACTTTGAACTAAATAGTAGCCATGTTTTATTTGGTGGAAACCTTTTGCGTTTCCCATTTCTTCATTTTGCAACAGCAATCAAGAATATTACCCTGAAATAACTTCTCAAAGTGCTGAGAAACAAGCTGTAACCTCTGTCATTAAATGCACATCAGGAATGAATAGTGAAAATCTAAATGTCCCTCAGTTTTAATAACATGCAGAGTTTTTTTATCAGAATTGTGTGAAAGCGTCACTGTTTTTTGCAGCTCTAATCTGTAGGTTCAAGGAGGAAAAAAATCCTAGAACTGACGTCCTGTCTTTGCATTAGAGCCTCTTCTTGTAACAGCTCGACTAATCTAGCCTCGTCAACACCTTCGACTAAATGCAGATTCAGATTTTCATGGATATTTGTGCTTTTAGATCCTAATATAACTCATGGCCCAGTTCAGACTTTTCTTTTACTAAACTAGTAATATTGGCCTTCGAGTGTGCCCAACTAACAAGACACCAAAATACCGATGGTTAAAAAGATTTCTAAAATATAACTAAATTCAGAATCTAACTGAATTAGGCAGACATTTCCCATTACAAAGCACAAGAAAAACATTTCCTCCCCACCCCAGCTAATTCATACCATTCTAGGCTGTAGGAACCCTGCATTCAAAATCAACTTGGTAAGGACTTCACTAAAGCGAAAGTGCTTTCTATTAACAGTTCATTTAGCATAGGGTGCTCTAGAGGTCCTGTACTGATGCTATGAAGCTACAAGGAATCCCACCCATTGCGCAACATGAGCATGCATATGTCCACACCATGTTTTGGTTTGTGTAATGAGAGCTTAACCTCACTACATTTGTAATTTATTTTATAGAAGTCTGTAGTTCCCAATTTTACTGACATCAACCATGTGCATTTCAATCACATGACATCCTGGTGGCCAAAGACCACATAAACTCAGCACATCAGTTAGGACTTTTCCTACCCAGACTGCTTGGGGTTGACCCAATGAAAAGAGAAACAGGAGCTACAATTTCATATCTGATGCAGCCAATCCCTCCAAAGCAAGAATTTTTTCACAAGCGTGTTTCTCCAATTAAGTAGATGTTTTTCCCAAATCGAGGCTTCAGGAAACATTGTTTTGGGATTTCATATGTACATAGTGTTGCTGTTAAAGTCATGGTATGTGGGTCTAAAGTTTCTACTCTGTATGCACTCCAGCTGGTGTGAGGTTTTTGATGATGCATAGTTTAGATATCAGGATTTTGTAGAAAGCAAGTTTATGTACAGTCTTCACATCCATACGTGTGCATTGTATGTAGAGTTTATTCATTTCTGAATATTTGTATTGAGGTCTCCCCCCTGCCATTGATTTGTTTTATGCTGTGGTTATACAAATCTGTAAATACCTGTATAAGAGCCTTTTTTTTTTTTTTTATTTCTACATTATTCCCTTCTGTTCAAACAAAAACACTCCAATATGGGATTTGCAAACATGATTTATTAATTAGCAATCCAAATACCGACATTGCACATAATCCCCTCCAAAAAAAACAAAAACGTAAACCTGAAGAAATTAAGTTTTTCCATCAATCCTTTCAAAGCTGAGAAGATGAAAGGAGCGCAATGCTTTAACCAACACAGGTGGTTCCAGAACTAAACTCCCAATACAAACCACCTGCTGTACACCTGCTTGGGTTTCCCCCTCAAATCAAATTAAAAAGCCAAATTAAAAAAAAAAAACAAGGCTGGTTCCTTATAATACCTGATCTACCCTCATCTGGCCGATTAAAGAAAACGCTCTTAAGAGGGGTTGGAATACCCGAGCCACCAAGCAGATGGTCCTTTACCTTTTTTTTTTTTAAGATTTCTAACATTTTTAATTACACCCGTCAGTATCACCATTTCCAGCAAATCTATAGATAAACAAGTGGGGATAGAAGGGGTTAGAGCAAGGAGATAGACTATGGGTGGAGGAAGCGGAGAGCAGCGCATATGCGGCAAATGAGGTCCAACTATCAAACCCCAGGACCTACAAGTAAAACATAAAAAGAGGCACAGGGATTTAACATGGTGAAGAACCAAATGTCATGCCTCTAATCCTGAAACAAGGCTGTTCTTCTTTTAAATCCTTGTTTTAATTTGCAGGAAGAAAAAAAAAAAATGTCCTTTTAAGACTCTAAAAAATTCTATCCCTTAAATGCCAGCATTTCATGATAAACCAGTGCCTCGAAAGAGCAACGCTTGTCCAAAGAAGAACAATCTCAAACTGTCCAAATCCAGAGTCGCTTAAGTTTTGCTGCCAGGTCCCTTCTTCCCCTCTTGGGGAAAGAGGGTTTGCAATAAGCTCAAGAGCAATCACTCAGTTGGTGTTGGGACTGCTGTGGTTTGAACTGCTGGGACGACTTCCTCCTGAAGGAAAATGAATCAAAAGTCTGTCAATGTAATCATTCAACAACACTTGAGATGATTCCTTTTACTTACCACAGGAGATCTTGGCTGTTTGGGAGAGGTTTTTGGAGAAGACTTTGGTGATTTTGGTGTAGATTTTCCTTCTGTTGCCTTTTCATTCTGAGGAGGAGTCCCAGGCTCTGCAGCAGACTTTTCTGCATCATTCTTCAAATGGGAATGAGAGCATTTTAAAACAAAGATCAAAAAGCAACATCAGAACCATTTATGACCTCTGAATGTTAGAAACGAACGCAGCTTCAAACTTTGACATCCTAATCCAGCAGATTAGAAGCACTCATACAGAGATGTGCAATTTTGTGATTTCCCACTGTTCTAGTTTAAAAAACAAAAAAAAAACAAAAAACGACTTGCTTTCGATGTTGAGGATTCAGAGTTCCTTTGGCTGCGTCGTCTAGATGGCCGGCGTGGTTTCTGGCCTTGGGCATCTGCTGTCATTTCGCCATTAGTCTGGACAGCCTCTGGGGACTCTACATGTTTTATCTCTGCCTGCTGTTCCTTGCTTTCTTCAGCAACAGGTTTCTGGTCCGCCATAGACTGATCGGGAGGTGGGCGAGGGCGGAATGGTCTGGATTTATGGTAAAGAGTGTTTACAAAGACAAAAAGAACAAAAGTGGAGCATTTCAAAGTTTATGCAGCAATACCTCCGGTAGGGACGCCAGAACCTGCGCCTCTGTGGTCTCTGTTGTTGCGACTGGTCACCTTCAACAGCCCCATCTTTTTCCTCTCCAACTTCCCCCTATCATTCCAGATAACAGATTTTATTCATGTTCAAGTTAAAAAGGAAAATCCTGTTAGGTTAAGCTTACATTTTGGGTATCCTGTCGTGGTCTGCGAGGCCTCCGTCGCCGAGGTGGAGGCCTCGTTGCCCGGGTCTCAGCTTGCTCTCCCTCTGTTGCAGGAGCTTGGTCATCGGCTGGTTTGCTCTGATCTTCGGGGCTTCGGGGGAAGAACCGTCGACGGAAACGTCGTTTGTTGGGAGCGTAGCGGCTTCCCCTTACTGGAACGCCGCCCGGACCCGTAACGTTAGCCGCTTCTGAACCCTGGTAGAAACAACCCATTTCCTGAATACTCCACAACATTCAGTCCACAATGAACCAACCGTGTTTGTTCAGACCTTCGTTGCCTCGATTACGTCAAACTCTACAACTTCCCCATCTCCAACACTGCGAAGAAACTTTCTGGGGTTGTTCTTCTTGATAGCAGTCTGAAGACGACATCACTGTCAATGCAACGAAACAAGCCAAGCATGACGCAGAGTCAAAACCTGATCTTACCTGGTGAACAAAGACATCCTCTTTAGTGTCGTTCCTGCAAGAAATGACAGTTTGTCCGTAAAGTCAGAAGTAAGGGAATTGTCAAACCAAGATGTTGTATGAAGAGCTACCTGTTAATAAAGCCATAGCCGTTGCGGACATTAAACCATTTCACGGTGCCTTGAACTGCCGTAGCTGCAACAGTAGCGCAGCATTAGACAAAAAAAAAAAAAAAAAAAAGGAAATGCAGAACATTTCACAGAAGCCTTGCAGCCAGTTCCCAACATCAATCATTAACAGTCAGACTTTGAAACCAGGTTTCCTCTGGGTCACATGGGAGCTGAGCGTAAGGACGATACAACCCGTTAAACACCTTAAGGAACTAAAATGACAGGATTCTGCAAACATAGATTTTGGCTTTTTTTCACCCCTCTCTCAGCAAGCATTTTCTGCTGGAAGCCATTTAAGGAAATGATTTGCAGCTGTGAGGACTTCCCAGCTGATAGAGACCAAATCTGGGTCATCTGAGGAGCAGTAATTCTATTTAAAAATGGCACATTTATGGAATTATAAATTAAATTACTCTGTTTATTTGATTTTATATCTATAAAATGAAAGGTCTTGGAAAAAAAATAGTAAGTGTAACACATGGAAGTGAGTTCTGGTTTACTGTGGACTCTTCAGGTTGGTGATTGCCCAATCAGCTACACAGATTTTGCAGCACAGTTCAACACTGGAGACTCATAGTTAATCAACATAGAAGTTAATGCATGTATTGAACCATAAACCAACCAGACTGGTTTGAAGGTCTTTTTTTTTCCAACCCTCTGTGCACCCACCTATGATTTTCCTCTCCGGCTGAGGTTTGTCCTCCAGCGGGGCAGCTGGAGCTGCGCTCTGCGCCTCAGCGTCTGTCATCTTCGCTCCTGCTGGGTTCGCTCCTCTCACCCCCCTCCCACGTGGATCTCCCCCTGCTCTTCCAGAAACTTTGCTCCCCCGCTTCGCTTAACTTAAGGTTTTATCTCGACGTCACGTCGCGCTACGGGACGGAAGCCGCACCCTCATTGGTTTTCAAGAGAGCGCGAGCTGGACGCCGATTGGCTGAGAGAGGAGCTCAATTGGGAGTGAAACAGGGACAGGTGTAGAACAGGTAAGAGTGAGAGGAACTGATTTCTCACACGAGATGTGAAAAATTATTTCAATAATAAAGTGTTAAATATTAATTTGATCTAAAAGGCAGCTTGTTGCAAACCACTTCAAAACAATGTGATTTAAATTTATTTAGAACTTAGTTAAACTATATTTCATTCGTTTTGATAGTTTACTCTGACACACTGCTTAAAACAATTGATTCAGTTGGATCACATGAAAAAATATATATTTAAAACTTTTTTGTTTGTATTGTGATTTAGAAAGCAGCTGACAGAAATATCCCTGATACTTTTGATTTTAACTAATTAATTTAATTTATGTGACTTCAAAGTCTGGATTGAATTAAATTAAAGAGTAATAAAAAATAAAAAAAAGGTTGGTTAAGATTAGCTTTAGCAGCCTGATGGGGATTAAATGTTACTGAACTTAATTTACAACGAAACAATCAGAAATTGAGCTTAAACCGAGCAGGGTAAATTGAAAATGGAATAAAATTAGTTGAAATTAGTGTAAGTTTTTAATGTAAGTTTTTATGTAATAAAGAATTAATTTACTAAGCTTAAATTAACTGAAATAAACAAACAGGTCTAACTTTTGTGGAAAATTAAACTAAACCATAGTGTGTTGAAAATAAATTAACTAAATAGACTGCCCTGAGCTAAACTTGATTAGATTCTGTATAATTCTGAGTAAAATGATAAATACACTAATTATATATATATATATATAAATATATATATATATATAAATTTTTTCTTTTTTTGTTTTTTTATTACTGTTTTTTAAGGCTGCACTTTATAAAATGTAATTGTTTAGAGCTGTTTTAAACGAAATATGAACGAATTTTGTATACACTCGTGTATACGAAAAGACAAAATAAATCTGTCTAAGTCTGCCTATCTAACTAATGGAATTTGATTTATCCAAAAGGAGGTGAAAATTCATATAACTTTAATGATCCCAGGTTAATTAAAAAAGAACTAGACTGAATGAGCATGAAACTGAATTAGGACTTCCATGTTTTGCTTATAATGGGTCCTGCTTAAATTGTTAGTATTCCAACAGGTCCACAATGGATTGAATATCTTTTAACTATTAATTTAATCGATGGGTTGTTTGTTAGCAGGTTTGACAGACGTTATAAGTAAGTGAGTCGAGTTTTGATCTTTGTGTATGTATTTCTTATTGCTATATTCTACAGCTTTTTTTTTACAGTCCTGTCTGTCTGTCTGTCTGTCTGTCTGTCTGTCTGTCTGTCTGTCTGTCTGTCTGTCTGTCTGTCTGTCTGTCTGTCTGTCTGTCTGTCAAGAAAGTAAAAACTGGTGGCATATCAAAGGTTTAATCAACCCTGAACTTCTTTATTATTTCCTTCAGATTTTTTAAACATAGGTTTGATGGTCATCAAGCTTTCTAGGCAATTTCTTTTGGACTTTGTTATTTAACTCATCTTCAGATGGTACCAGAGTGTCATGAGCCAATGATCAATGTGTCCCTTTGAACAAAACAAGGCTTAAACGCAAACTTTACACAGCAGATAAACAATATCTGACGTATCTCTAGCAAACATTAAGAAAGGAAATCCAACAAAGTCTGGAAACAGGACTAAAGAGACGGTGGTAAAAAAAAAAAAAAAAGGTCTTCTTTTGCTTCTCATGTTAAATTACACATTAAATAAGACCAACATTATTATTATTATTATTATTATTATTATTATTTTGTTTAATTCATAAACCAGACCCAGGCCTGAATACTGTAAGTTACTAAATGTAGGATGAAACATAAAGTATGCTAAAAGAATTAAAAAGCAACAGATTTTATCTTGATCTAAAGAAATCCAATAGTAGATTAAAAATTTTAAAAAAATGCTAGTGGACCTTCCCAGGTTGGTCTGTTCAACCAGAATAACCCATAAGCTTATCAACAAATCAAACAGCAGGGCACAAAATAATTCAATTACAGCTTAAGCTCTGCAGGCAGCTTTGTTCAGCAATAAGATAGAGACTGGGAGAAATTAATTTCTTATCAAAAGAGAGAATCACTGGCCATCAGCTTGTGTCCCTAAGTTCAAGTAAATTTCATTCATGAAGCAGGATAGAAATTCAAAGTACTTATGAACTGTTTATAAAAGCTGCCTATAGTCAAAGTCAGGGTTTAAATACAAGAAAGGGCTGTGTTTAAATCCTATCTATCTTTGTCAATGTTAAATCTTCCTCATGCTCAAGGGTTACCTGTGGAGTACCACAGGGATCAATGCTAGGACCAATTCTCTTTACTATATATATGCTCCCAATCAGTAGAATTATTAGACAGCATTGGATTAATTTCCACTGTTATGCTGATGGTACTCAGTGAAGATATATATACATGTTTAAGCTAAAAGAAGTAAAGAGCTAAGTTAAAACTGCAGCAAAACGTATTGTTCATATTGAAGAAGTATATGCCATGTATAATCTAAGGATGGGCAGCAAATTTACTATTCCCAGGTGTTAGGCCAAAGCTCGCAGAGGGGAGGATGAAATCTGTAGATAAGAGGGTAGAATGACCTGGCTCGCACACACACGCAGAAAAAGCTGATTAACAGTGGAGCAGAAAGGCAGGAAGCAACTCCATATTTGGAGAAAGGAAGTAGGGAGTATGATCATTCTGTGGGACTGTCTGTGTGAAACTGTAAGAGGTTCCCCTATGAAGATAATAAAAAGAGCCGGTGTTGCAGGGGGGGGTCAGAGTTGCTGTTCGCAGATGCGTAC